GTGAGAGAGACACATCAATTGGTTGCCTCCTGCACATGCCCTTAACAGGGCTGGGGATTGAGCCTACAGCTGAGGTACGTGACCTTGACCGGAATCAAACCTGGGAACTTTCAGTCATGGGCTGACACTCTATCCACTGAGCCAAACTGGCTAGGGCATAAATTCATAATTTTAATACAATTAAATTCAAAAGAATTTCACTACAATGATAATCCAATAATTAAGTTAGCAGATGAGAATTACCATCTTTTCCCTCTAACAAGGAAACGAAAACATGAACATTTATGTATTAAATTGGTAATAAATAACAGACCTTAAAAAATAAAAATCTTTAGAAAGATTAAAAAGTTAAAGAGAATACCAAGTATATATTTTTATCCCTTTCCATATGTATTTCGAAGAAAATTTACAGTGTTCTTTTTATTCAATCATTCCTAAATTATCAGCAGCCATTTAGCTTGGTTGGTTAAAGCACACCGAGGTCAAGATCATGCGTTTAATTGTCGATAAGAATTGGTTGGCCTCACATGTTCATAGCCACAAATTTTCATCTAAATCCAGCAGATATCTCTAAATATAGTTTGTCACAATAAGACACTGCTCAATCTCTCTACTAACATCCCGATTTTCAACTACAATCTCCTATACTTCTCTGCTCCTCATTCCATAGGAGCTGCTCTTTATCTTATCGAGACCTTGAAACCTGTTTTGTAAGACTCCTCTGTATCTCAACCAGCCCCTTTTTGATATCCTTCTTTATTCTAGAACTATTTTATCATTTCCATAATTTTTTTGACAAAATCCATAATGGCTTTTCATCCAATGCCTCAACCCAGGTAGAACTGCACTACTCTTTATTCTGAAAGTTAATAGTTGATGGGCTTATTAATTTTACAGTAATAATTTCTGTGTAGGTTTTTCGCTCACTGTGCCTATCACAGGACCTATACGGTAGGCGTTCAATAAATATGTATCAAATATCTCAGTAAATGCATACAATGACATTACATAATAAAGAAAGAGGGCACAGATAATAAGATTAAATCCTCACCACTAATGAAAAAACAGCTCAGAAAAGTATATTATACTAGCAATGACTCAAAAGTGTTAACTTCAGCCAGACCAAAGCAGTTAAGCATCGACCCATGAACCAAGAGATCCCAGGTTTGATTCTCAGTCAGGGCACATGCCGGGTTGTGGGCTTGATCCCCAGTAGGGAGTGTGCAGGAAGGCAGCCGGTTGTTGTCTCTCTCTCTCTCACTGGTGTTCCTATCTCTCTATCTGTCTCCCTTCCTCTCTCTCTCAAAATCAATAAAAACATTTTTAAAAAGAAAAGTGTTATCTTCATTTACAAGAGAATGTATAATTCTTCAGTAAGCCAAGAAAACAAAAATTGCTCAAGTTTACGCAACAGCTATGCCTCCCCGCCCCCCCCCACTACTCATTCGCTGAAAATATACCTCTTTTTCTAGTCTCTTTTATATTGAAAGAAAAATGAACTACTGTATAATGGGTAAAAAGATAATCCATTAATATCTGGCTAAAACTGTGAATTAGACTAAGTTGTTAAGACAGATTCCTGTAATCAATTTTTCTAGCTAAAAAATATCAATACTGGTTAGTGTTTGGAATGTGATTTGGGTTACCATTAAATCTGTATATTATTTAGAAAAACAACAAACAACATCTTTATGAATTTGAATTATTCCATCCAAGAAAAAGAGATGTCTTTGCATTTCTTCAAGTCTCCTTCAGTGTCTTTCAGAAGTTTTTTATTATTTTTAAAATAATTTTACTGAGGCCGAAAAACTGGTTTGGCTCAATGGATAGAGCGTCGGCCTGCGGACTGAAAGGTCCCAGGTTCGATTCCAGTCAAGGGCATGTACCTGGGTTGCGGGCACATCCCCAGTAGGGGGTGTGCAGGAGGCGGCTGATTGATGTTTCTCTCTCATCGATGTTTCTAACTCTCTATCTCTCTCCCTTCCTCTCTGTAAAAAATCAATAAAATATATTTTTTAAAAAAATAATTTTACTGAGGTTAATTGATATACAAAAAATATACATAATGTATACAATTTGATGAATTTAGACATATGCATACACTCATGAAACCATCACCACAACCAATTTAACAGACACATCCATCACCTCCAAAAGTTTCCTTGTGTCCCTTTGTGTGTGTGTGGTAAGAATAGTGAATATTATAAATACACATAAGAAAACACTAGGAAAAAATCAATGAGGGGAACTAATTTTGTCAGATTTAAGACATACCATATAGGATCTCTTTTACAGCCCAAATGCCCATTGACAGATGAATAAAGAAAATGTGATATATACATATAACTAAATATTATTTGGCCTTAAAAAATAAGAAAATCCTGCATTTGAGATGATATGTATGAACCTGGAGGACACTATGCTAAATGAAATAAGCCAGACACAAAAGGACAAATACTGCATAATTCCACTTATGTGAAGTATCTCAAACAGTCAAACTTAAAGAAGCAGAGAATAGAATGGTGGTTGCCACGAGGTTGTAGAGAAGAAAATGTGAGTTATTCAATTGGTATAAAATTTCAATTTTGCAAGATGAATAAGTTTTAGAGTTCTACTCTACAACACAGTACCAATGTAGTGTGCACTTAAAATTTGTTAAGAGGGTAGGTTTCATATTAACTGTTCTTATCATGTGCAAAAATAAAAAGGACAAAAGGAAACTTTGGGAGGTGATGGATATGTCTGTTATCTCGACTGTGGTGATAGTTTCATAGGCGTATGCATATGTCCAAACGCCACAAATGTACATATTAAATGTTTTGCAGTGTTTCTTTTATATCAATTATAGTATCTCAATAAAGATGATAAAAAGCACAAGAAACTCCTATCACCCTTAAAACATCAGGTTTTTTTTTGTTTTCTTGCAATGTTTCCAAGAAGAAATGCTATTCAGATTGCAAGAAATAGAGGTGAACAAAGAATGAGAGGTCAGGATTGCTGAGTTAGATTTGGAAGTCATTCCTGTATAGGTGGTAATTAAAACCACACATGCTATTTCCTCAGATCTATAATCCATGATATTTCTAAGGGCCACTCCACAAGCCAAAATACCCATATTGTCAGCAAACCAAGGGAGGAAACACACTTCTGGATTCTATGAGTTCAAGATGTTCTTTCACCTTATAAAACCTGATCACTCCCACAGACAGTTTCCGTTTGGTCTAAAACTTCCTTACTTGGTATCAGCCTGAGATAAATGTTAAGGCAGAAGAAACAGATAAAATATAGTAAGCTACTGTGTGATTTAAGAAATGGAGAGAAAAAAAATACTAATGATTAATGTTATCTTTAACCTAATTTCTCCTCTGTAACTTTAAGACAAAAGGGCTCAATCAGCATATAACTTTTAATGATTACTGGTTTATAATTAAAAAATTTGGAGAGGGGATATTTTTAGTGATTAACTAATGTCTTTGAGGCTCTTAATTTGCTACTTATCACTCACTAAATATTGTTTAAAATATCACAATATTTAACAGTGCAATTTTTTTTCCTAAAGAAAAAGAGAAAAAAGAAAGCTTTGAGAATTGGAAAAGAAAATTAATTCATCTCACTACCGGGCACACATTTTTTAGCCTGAAAGGACACCCATCCATGCTAAATTTAAGAATTTATTTGCCTCAGATTCAGATGTTTTAAAATGGAAATTTCACTGATTAACTGTTTACCTAAAAATTATTTTGTAACAGGTCTAAAAAAAATCAGTCTGCTTTCCTTAAGTTGTGAAACTGGGCATATTTTACAATTCAATTCTCACTCCAAAATAAAAGTTAAAAGCTATAAGTCTGGGATATGACTATTCATATGGTTTTATGATGCTTTGCTCATAAAAAAGTCACAGTTTCAAATACCAACTTCTGCGCAGGGGCCATGAAGTTTCAATCACACTGTACGTGCGCATCCGCACGTGGTACTTTGTGGAAGAGCCACACTCAAGGGGCCAAAGAGCTGCATGTGGCTCGCCAGCTGCAGTTTGCCGACCACAGGTATGGATGGTGCCACAAAATAAAATTCAAAGTGTTTCCTTGAAGTCAGTGCAAATTCTAAGCACAAATCTCTCACCTTAATGTTCTAATGCGTTCTCACTTACTAAAGGAATTGATTTAATAGGAGGTAAAAAATGAGTAAATGAAAAAAATTGCTTTGGCATTTGACCACTGAGGCTATACAAAGTTGATTGTTTTAAACAGAAAGTTTTCATAGGTGAAATTAACTTCCAACACAGATGACTCCTTTCATTCTCAGATCATTCTGCTAAAACACATACAAGAAGTCTTTCAAAAGTATATAATTTCTCACCTCACTAGTAAAATTATAAAATGCAGATATCTCACCTTTTCTTCCAAATATGTTAAAATAAGGGAATGATAATTAAAGTTAAAAGCCCATTTTTCTTTCTTTTTCACAATGATCCCATCCACTTAAATCAGACAAAGCACTGAAGAAATATTATCTTCCTCTAGCAATAACTTCTTATATTTGATAATTGCAAATTGGCTGCTCATTGGCCAAATCCACCCATTACTTTGCTTTGTCTGGATCATGGTGTTTTATAACTTTTTAATTACTTGAAATGTTCAGAAATTCAGAGGTTTCACTTAAGAATCCAGATTCTGAGTTCTTTTGAAAAACTGAAAGAGGCTGTAACACCAGACACAGTCTTACAGGGCAATAAGGGCTAACGCTGAGTGTTAGTGGCCCCTTTTCAAGGTGTTATATGCTTTCCAGTTTAATCCAGTATCACCTCATTATACTTCACTACCTTAAATTACCTGCCTGGACTCAAATGAGTTTATAATTTCTGTTATATATATTCCCCATCCTAAATCCAGTCTCCTCATCTTCCTCACTCAAGTTTCCCCCACCCTTTTTTATAAATATAGTAAATCTAATACTTCACTAAAAATTTCAATTAATGCGTTTGGATAAAAAAAATGTCTGTAGTCCCGGCAGCACATATACTAAAATTGGAAGGATACAAGAAAATTAGTATGGCCCCTGCGCAAGGACGACATGCAAATTCGTGAAGCATCCCATATTTTTTTTTAAAAAAGTGTCTCTAATGGAAAATAACATGTCAGCCTTCTACATCAATATATTTACAAGTTTTCTGACCATCCTTTTGGTACATGGACACTGCAACAGTTCCTTCTCTCCAACAAGTATTTTAGTACACATAGGGTTTCCTTTACTCTTGACAATTATTCTGGAAAATAGCATACAATGAAGTTTGAATTTAAACTATTACATTTCTACTTTATTTCCTGATGATAACTGGCAACATGAATAACTCAGAAAAATTTCTTTCATCAATAATACAGAGCCTAAACATGCTTATAATTGTTGAAAGGATTAATAGTGCTTAATTAATAAATCATTTCTCGTTTTTGGAAATTTAGGTACAATTAATAATATGAAATTTAGATTTAAGTGAGGAGGAAAGACTTTTCAGTACTTACCTGTATAAAAAATGTGATAGAATTCTAAAGATGCCCTCCCAAGACTATTGTCACCTGGGTATTCAATCCATCACTAGACTACCTACTGCTGTGAAGGGACTTTGCAGATGGAAGTACGCTGCTAATAACCTAATCTTAAAATAGGGAGATTACACAAATTTTCCAGGTGGGTCTAATGTTGTCACATAAGCCCTTAAAATAAAAGAGCAAAGTAGAAGAGTCAGAGAGAGAGTGATAGAAGAAAAGGCAGCAGAGCTCAGAGATTCAGTGTCAGAAGGACTGGACCTCCTGCTACTAACTTTAAAGATAAAGGCATGGGGCATGGCCAGTGTGGCTCAGAGGTTGAGTATCAAACTATGAACCAGGAGGTCAAGGTTCAATATCAGGTCAGGGCACATGCCTGGATTGGGGGCTTGATGCCCACTAGGGGGTAGCCAACCAATGATTCTCTCTAATCATTAATGTTTCTATTGCTCTCTCTCCCTCTGCCTTCCCCTCTCTGGAATCAATAAAAACATTTTTTTTTAAAAGATAAAGGCATGGGGTTAGGAGCCAGAGAATGCTGGTGGCTTCAATAAGCTAAGAACCACTCCTGGTGAACAGCAAAAAATGGGGATCACAGTTCTATAACCTCATGGAAAGAGCTAAATTCTACCAACAACCAGAATAAGCCTGGAAATGGGTTCTCTCCAGAGGAATGCTCACACTTTGATTTTGGCATGTTTTAGACCTGTAGCAGAGAAACCAGCCAAACACAATAGATTTCTGACCTACAGAACTATCTATATATATAAAAGGCTAAGTGACCGACCGTCCGTCCAACTGGCCAGTACTTATGACATGCACTGCACAATGGAATACGACGCTGTGGTAAAAAAGAAGGAATTCTTACCATTTGCAACAGCATGGATGGAACTGGAGAGCATTATGCTAAGCAAAATAAGCCAGTCAGCGAAAGGTAAATATCACATGATCTCACTCATTTATGGAATATAATGAACAACAAAAACTGATGAACAAAACAGTTCCAGAGAGAGAGAAGCATCGATCAGACCATCAAACCTCAGAGGGAAGGTAGGGGAGGGCACGGGTATGGGGGAGAGATCAACCAAAGGGCTTGTATGCATGCATATAAGCCTAACCAATGGACAAAGACACCAGGGGGGTGAGGGCATGAGTAGGGGGAGGGTAGGGGGCCAACAGAAGGATAAGGACACATATATAATACTTTAATCAATAAAGAAAAAAAACTAGGGAAAAAAAAAGACGTGACTTGTGCATGTGCAATACACATAAAGCTCTCACTGGTGCCAATCGCATGCATGTGTTTCAGTCTGTCATTGTCGATCCTGAATTTGGTTTTGTTGACATTCTGAATCTGAAAGAAAGTGGCGGCAGCGTCGACAGAACATGTCTGAAGACCATTAACAAATCACAAGGACAAACTCTAGACAGAGTAGGAATATTCCTACCTAAACCCATTTTTGGAGATGGTCAGTTATATGTTGCTTTCTCTTGAGTTTGAAGAGCATGTTATGTTAAAGTTAAAGTTGTAAATACTTCATCACAAGGGAAATTAGTCAAGCACTCTGAAAGTGTTTTTACTCTAAATGTGGTATAAATGGAGATATCAGAATAAGTTTAATCAATTTATCAGTCATTGTTTTTATCAATGTTGTTTTTATATTGTCTTTGTTGTTGTTATATCATGTTGTTATTGTTTATTTATTAATCAACTAGTGGCCCGGTGCATGAAATTCATAGTGTTCCTCAGCCCGGCCTGCACCCTTTCCAATTTGGGACTCCTTGGGGGATGTCTGATTGCCTGTTTAGGCCCACAGGGATCGGACCTAAACCAGCAACTGGACACCCCTCTCACAATCTGGGACCACTGGCTCCTAACTGCTTGCCTGCATGCCTGCCTGATTGCCCCTAACCACTTCTGCCTGCCAGATTGATCGCCCCCTAACCACTCCCCTGCCAGCCTGATAGATGCCTAACTGCTATCCTGCTGGCCCGATTGCCCCCAACTGCCCTTCCCTATTGTGACCCGCCTCATCTGCACGACACGGTGGAGACGCCGGGACCAGCCTCCTCTGTGTCATGTGGAGCCACAGGATCCCCAGGCCTCACTGCGCGGAGCGGCCACCGGGCCTCACCTCCCCTGTGCGCACGGCCATCTTGTGGTGACATCGTGTGCGAGGGCTACCTAGGCTTTTATTGGTATAGATTTATATATTATTTTCATATGCATTTTACTAATTTTCTTTCAACTCTGACACTTCTATTTATACTAGTAGCGAAAGGGCAAATAGCAATATTAAAGTATTTCTTCTAATTAATTTCCTTTCAATATGTAGGAACGTGCAACGGGCCACTAGTTAAATAATAAATTTGTATTCTTTTAAGCTGAAATATTTGTGGCCAATATGTTATAGCAGCAATAGAAAACTAATACTTCATTGATGAATAAAAAAAAAGTCTTTACACAAACACTAAATGAAACTGGTAACCATTAGTTTACAAAGTCATAACATCCTGCATGAATTGTTGGAAGTGGCTATAAAATCTACTTTAACACTTCCTCAAAAAGGAATCTCATCAGTCTCAAACCTTCCTCATTCCCCTAATGTGCCTATTGTTCTGACTGGCCCTTTATGGGCGCCTGGGAATTGTGCTTTTTGAATGTTCTAACTCATAAGAAGGTTTTGCCCATTGGAGGCCTTGAACCACTCTAGCTTGTCTAGATATTTTGTGCAATGATTTAGATTGAAGACTTGCTTGCTTTCTGGGGGGGCTAGAGCATCAGTAACTTCAGTTACAAGTGCCTTCGTGACTAACCCCCGACAAACACCCTAGACGCCCAGACTCAGGCAAGTTTCTCTAACAGACAACACTTTGCACATGCCACAATTAGCTGCTGGAGGAATTAAGTACATCTACTAGTATAACTCTCCTAGGAGAGGACTCCAGAAAGCTTTGTGCCTGCTTTCCTCCATACTTAGCCCCACTTTTCTTACCTTTATTGATTTTACTTTGGACACTTTTGCTATAACAAAATGAGTACAATGTAACCAATTAGTTCAATGACTTGTGAATCCCCTGCTTGCTTCCAGTGAATCACTGAAGCTGGGAGTGGGTTTGGTGACTCCTGACACACTACAGCAAGCATGTCAAACTCGCGGTCCATGGCCCACATACAGTCCACAATGAATATTTTTGCGGCCCAGCCAATATAATGGTATGTAACTAAATTTTGTAACTTAACTTTTATAATATCCTGTTATACATAATTATTAATAACGAACTACAACGTTTGCTAATGACTAATTACTATAATCGTGTTGCATTCATTTCCCTTACGTGCAGGTGCACCATTTCTCTCCATTAATACTAACAGTGAATATTTTAGCAGCCGATTACCATGTCATTAGTTTTGTACTGACTTGTTTGGTGTGCACAACAGAAAATATTTCACTTTCGGAGAACAAGAAAAATAGGTTTATTTGTGTTATGCTTATTAATTTGTACAGTTATTCAGTGTCTGGTAAGTTAATGTTCAAAAGTAATATTATTTTTTATTAAAATGTTCTATTATTTTATGTTAACGATTACTCATTTATTTCAGCCCTTTGTATTCAGAATGTCTCTATTGAAATAAACTTACGTTTCTATGAAAATTAAAGTTTTTGGTTTTTTTGCGGCTCACATAAACTTAAACCTTGTTTTTTTGGCCTGTGCTAGCCTTGGAGTTTGACATGCTTGCACTACAGTTTCCACCATCTCAGCCACAATGACCTACTAATACAAACAAGAAAACCAAAGATCAAACTTGTTAAGACACTAAAAACTTTCCCCAAATTTTTACTAAATAAACTGTGATAGGCAGAATTCTTAGATGGTCCCCAAGATATTTGCTCCCTGATATGCACCTTGCATAACCACCAACACTAAATATGATGAATTTTACTCCCATAATCACATTATGTTATATGGCACAGCTGACTTTAAGAATGGGGGTTGTCTGGGTGAGTTTGGCCTTATCATATGAGTCCTTGAAATCTATATCTAAAGGTTAGAGACAGAGGAAATGAGAGATTCCTGGCATGAGGGAGATGAGATATGAACAAGATTCTCCATTGTTAGTTTTGGAGCTGCAGATGGCCTCTAAAAGCTGAGAGCAGTTTCCAATGGACAGTAATCAAGATAGTAAACAGTAATCTCAGTCCTACAATTGTAAGGAACTGAATTCTGCCAACAACCTGAATGAAATTAGAAGTGCCTTCTTCCCCAGAACGATGAGAATGGAAGTCAACAAGTTGTTTCCTTTAATCATTCTGTTTTTAAAAAGAAAAATTATTTCCCATGGAACAGACTGACAGTTATCAGAGGGGAGGGGAGTGGGCACTGGATGAAAGAAGGTGAAGAGAGTAACCAAAGAACATATATGCATAACCCATATACACAGACAACAGTGAGTGATGGGAGGGAAGGAGGGGCGGGGATTGGGTGAAGGTGGGCAATGGGAGGGAGGGGGGGAGAAATGGAGATATATGTAATAGTACCAACAATAAAAATAGTTTA